CCCCCCTTCGACAATTTTTAATTACAAATGCCGCCATCTTGTAAGGGGAAAAATTGGACTGTCCCTAATAGATGTCAAAGATGTACCCCAATGCACATAAAAAGGCTAAAAAAAAGAATTTATAATCACTTTAGCATTATCCCTTATCCTTTCTTCATCGGAACATTATTCTGATTTTTTAGCGAATAAATCCCTTAATATAAATGCTCATTTTACATCAGTGAAGTTCCAAAGGCAATTTATGCAACTGTATACTGTGATGTAACTTCCGGAGAGAAATGTTATCTCGCAATAGTATGTGTTGATTTAAACGATTGAAATTGAAATCAATTGTCAATTTGTGAATTTCTATTGTTACCAAGTTTCGTATAGTGTAGTCAAGATGTAGTTAACAAAATACCTTGAAAGCGTCATCGAACTTAAACACTATGTGAAACGGCATTTCAATGCATCAAAGAGTGTAAAAACAATAATGTGTTGCTCGGAACAATATTGAAGAAATTTGTATAATCACTTTACAACTTGTAAATCAATAGCAGTCTGTGTATGTAACCATGGACTCCAGTTACATTTACATACAGAGAAGTGGACGCTTAAAGGGTTTTTAACAAGTTTTTAAAGCTTTTTGTGTGTATCTGTAACACTGATAGCATCAATTTACACCATTTCAATTTTCAATCAAACGCCTGAGGTTCCTGCAATTCCACCAAAACTGAGCGTTTTATGACGTCACTATTACCTTATAATAGCAGCTTTTTGTGCTAGTGACGGCATAAAAGGTTTAGTTTCAAGGAACACAGATGTCAGGTTAAAATCTTGAATGGTGAAAATTGATGCTATCAGCGACAACCCTTTTATGACCGTCCTGTGATTAAACTATGTTTAGATAGTCTTTTATAGTGTTTTGTTTAGTTGTCTGTAAATGTTTGATATCGTACGTGGCATTGTTCTACTGCACTCACGTCTTAACGTACTGTTTATTAAATAGAATCTATGGTTTTCAGAAGAACCACGATGTATCCCCTATTCTGAAGAGTTCATGAGAAACTGTGATCACATAATTGCAAGAACGCGACTGTGGACAGTTTGCCAAATAACATTGACATATCAGAATTACCAGAGTCTTTTGTTGACTTTTTTGAGCAGACAATTATCAACATCCGCGAGAAGCTATACAGTTATCTACCAGGTTCCGATGGATCGATTTCACCTCAATCTGAGCTCAGCTCGTTCCATCCACTGACTGTTGAAGATGTGCCATTTATAGTTAGTAGAATGTCATCCAAGACATGCAAACTGGATCCGATGCTCACACAGTTTGTGGAAGACCGCATATCTGATCTGGCTCCAGTTCTTTTACGCATCGTGAATGCGTCGTTTACATCGGGAACTTTCTCAGACGCGTGTAAAACTGCAATAGTGCGTCCTTTACTGAAAAAGATGGGTCTCGATCCCAATGTCATGAAAAATTATCGCCCAGTTTCCAATATTTCCTTCTTAGACAAATTCCTAGAAAAATGTGCTCTTTTTAGACTACATCCCTACTTATCTTTCAATAACCTTTACGGTAATTTTAATCGGCCTATTGAGAGGGGCATAGCACCGAGACGGCACTCCTCAGAGTGATGAACGACATTTTGATAGACACAATGACGTCATACTAATATTGCTAGATTTGTCCGCTTGGCCCCGTTCTTTTTCGCTTTACATGACTCCGATTGAGGACATCATCGCCAGCCGCGGTCTAAACTCGGTAATTTACGCCGATGACACCCAACTGTACATCGCTTGTGACGCTAACACTGCCTCCACTACTGTGACAACGCGTCGAGATCTGCTTAGATGAAATTCGTCATTGGATGCGCGCAAATAAACTCGCACTAAACGATGAAAAGACAGACATTCTCAAGAACTATGGTTGCTGGTGTTTAACAGGTAACGGGCGATGTACGGGTGGGTGTTGTCCACGTCTCTCCGTCAACAACTGTGCGAGATCTCGGGGTGACGTTGGACTCCTTCGAATTCATGGATGAGCATGTGAAAATGTGTGTAGTAAAGCATCACACTCGTTATGGCGGATAGGCAAAATACGCAAACTTCTGGACCAGTCTAATGCAGAAAAATTAGTCCATGCATTTGTCACGTCTAAATTAGATTACTGTAACAGTATCCTTTTCGGCCTTCCCGACTATAAACTTAAGAAACTACAGCATATTCAGAATTCTGCTGCTCGACTAGTTACGGGATGGAAGTTGCATTCTTAAGTCTTTTCATTTTTATCTCTTATTTTTATTATTAACTCACTATAGCTTCGACGACTAATTATCATTGGCTAGTGATCAGCGATGACCGATTTCCATTTTTTGCAAATCCACAAAGATTCCGGAGCGTATGAACTGAGTTTTATTAAGTCATTATCACAAAAGCTGCTGTTGATATATAAAGACCTTTGTAAAAACGACGTCTTAGTTGTAGTGGAATTGCAAAAATTACAGACGTTTGATTGAAAATTGGAATGGTGCAAATCAATAATTTTTTTTTACACTCCGTTTAATAAGATGTATTGGCTGTGAGATAAGAACGTTGACATATCTATTGATTTTTCACATTCCATTTACCCATTCCAATTTTTGCAAACATTACTGGAGTTTTACATAATATTACCACAACAACAACGATGGGTGTAAAATTCCGAATTCCCGAACTGTCCGAATTGTCCGAATTGGGTCAGAAAAGATAAATAGATCGAAACGAAAATTGCGCCAAAGGTCGTGCACAAATTCAGGAAGTAAAACATTTTACATCAAAAAACGAATATTTTTAAAAGCTTTCATTTGGTCAAATCACAATTTTTTTTCTTTATTTTTCGTGTACACAGTGCTAATTTATAATGATGCCGTCTTACTCAATGCATGTTAGCCTGTTCCCATCATTCACATTGGCATCAAACTTTGTGACTTCCTTTTCACATTAGTATTTTTACTATTATTTTAGTATATTGTTGTCATGACGTTACTTTTACCAGTTAAGCTTAGCAGGTCTTTTTTTATATATATTTTATCTCTGTGGATATAGCATGGAGGAGTAGTACTAGTAGTTGAATCCGACTGTGAGTGTGATTCCCTAAAACGTCTGTTACAGGTTTTCACTAAATGCCACGTAGCTGTAGAGGTGTGTTTCAAATCTTCTCCCGCAGCCCCCTTATCGACCAACACATTTTCTGAATGGGAAGGAGACAAGGGTGGGGAAGATGTTGCCTGGTTGTGAGAAACAGCAAGAACCAAGAGTTCACACTTTTTGGTAGCTATTTAGATTTAAATCTCCCACTGTGTTGTCACCTTGACATGTCATGGATGGGAAAGAAAGAAATTGTGATTTGACCAAATGAAAGCTTTTAAAAATATTCGTTTTTTGATGTAAACTGTTTTGATTCCCGAATTTGTGCACCACCTTTGACGCAAATTTAGTTTCGATTGTTTTGTCTTTTCTTACCCAATTCTGACAGTTCGGACAGTTCGGGAATTCGGAATTTTACACCCACCGCAACAATAATGTCCAAACCGGGAGTAGAAAATTGCGGGAAAGTTGGCAATGCAGAACCTATAGAATTTGGAAAAATATTGGTTGATCAGTTGTAGCGCCATTGGGGGTGCAGTGGGGGGGGGGGGGGGGGGGGGGCCCCCCCCAATTGGG